CGGCCCCTGGACAACATGCGGGGATCCTCATGTGGATTCTACATCCACCATCAATTGATGGCTTGTAGATTGCATGGAGTCACTTTCTGTATGTGCTCTGTATTCCAAACCAGAGTTGCTGTGGCTTTGTTTGGACACAGGTCCCCTTATCCAGCGCCAGCATGCCACTTATGCCCTGCTTGCCCAGCTCCCTGCTATCTGCCCTTGCAGAGGCACAGCCCAGCTATCCTCCAAAATCCCACAGTGCTGGGTCATTAGATAGAGGGGACAGTAAACATCCTTTATGCTAAAGCCATCATCCGACACCATGCAAGGAAATTTAGCAAGGCAGCTGTGAGGCCCTATTTGTAGGTAGGAAGAGGAAACAGGAGCTATTCTGGGAATAATCAGGCGCTTAGGTGGAAGAGCAGTTCTGCATGCCAGGATCTGGGATGGGACTGTGTCACCTGCAATACACGTACCCTCATCCCCTACCCGGTTCAGCCCTGGTGAGAACAAAGCAATCCCACACCCTGTTGGGAGTACTGCGCTTCAAGAAGGATGAGGCTGGAGAGAGTCCAGAGCAGAGAGGTGGGATGGGGACTCCATAGAACATGGGCTGAGAGGGCTGTCCCTCCTCTCAGATGTGCTCCATGCCTGGTCCCTCTCAGCCACAGGAAGATTTCAGGGCATGGTTCAGGGTCAGGACATCCAGATGCTCCAATATTAGGATGCTCTGATCCTCCTGGCACATTGGGAAAGGCTTTGGTCAGCTCTTGAACAGGACCCCTCTACTTAAAAGCACTGGGAGTGGTGGGATTAACCCACAGCAGGATCCTCAACAGTCTTGGAGAGACAGGGATGCATGGCTGGTGCCACCTCCTGCCACAGCACCACCCTGGGCCGTTCTCCCACGGGCAGGGGGGCATCACTTCCCTTGCCACAGGCTCCCCCTCTGCCATGGGTTGCCTTCCCCTCCTCGCACCTACTAATCCTGAGTGGAGCCGGCTCGCTAGCCTGCGCCGCACTCACAGCCTCCCTCACTGCAGCCTCCAGGCTTATCGTATCTCCGCAGTTGCTAGCCCAGTGCGTGGGGTGCAGCGTCGCCTCTCCCCAGCTTTCCAGCAACTCGGATTCCTGGCACCCTTTGCTACTACACACATTGTCCTCTCTGCTTTGGCATTCAACACAGTTGCCACACAGCCAGCCATATGCACACCCACGGCCACAGAAGAACAGCACATACATACCTACAGGATGGAGATGTGCAGAAAACTTTGACAATCTGTGAGCCATGGAGAGAGCCAGCAGCGTGCAAGCCCTGCCAAGCGAGCGGCTGTTGCCGGTAAGTGCCTGGGTCTCAGAGACACCCAGGCATGCAACCCCACTGCCAGGCAGGTGAGTTTGGGTTATCTCTGCTCCCTGAATCTTGGGGCTGCCAATGCTGAGCAGTGTTTTGCATCACTCCCTGAAAGCGAGCGGTGTCGGTGCTTGCCGGCTGTGGTGTGTGCTAGGAGCAGCCTGTTCTGGCTGGGGTCAGCCAGGCCTGACCCTGAAGTTTTTGCTCTGAGTATGTTTCCAAAATCCACCCAACAGAACACCAGCTAATTGCATAAGGAAGCCAAAGGGAGAACTGAATATATACCATGTAACCAAGGGAACAAGCCAACAACGCAAACGTTCAGTGTCGGAAAACTGAATACCAGTCACTCACTGACGGCAAAACCTCCTCGTGGCACCCACCAGAGCCGCCACAACCTGGCTCTGCTGCAAGTTGCTCCCCCTTTCCTCTGCTGGTGCCCTGCACTGCTCCCCAGCTCTCATTTGGGACTGTCTCAGCACTATGAGCTCAGCGAGGAGATGCCCGGCTCCATCACCCCCAGAAAGGAAAAGCACACCCCACCCTGCTCCCATCTCCCCATGTAATGCCTGCAGAGCTGATGGGAGAGTTGGGGGCTAATTAGCTGTTCCAAGCGTATCCTGATCCTAAGCACCATCTGATTTCTCATAGAAAAGAGTAAAGGTATTTTTTTCCAAGCACTTCCCACGCAGCAAGCCCACCTGAAGGCTCAGGAAGAGGTCTCCTTTGCTGGCCTTCGCTTCCCTTTCGTGTTTTGAGCAGTAGGGAAATAGTTAGCAATGATGACATTTAAATCATCAACAGAAGGCTGCAGAGTTAACACTCATTTGATAAACAGAAGAGCACACACCTTCCAGAGCTACTGCAAGCTGTCTGCAGGCTCTGCCGGCCAACACAGCACCAGCGCACGTGGAATGTGCTTTGCAATTTGCTAGAGAGTTTGGTGGTTTTTTTTTTTTTTTTTAAATAAAAAAGGAGGCCAAATTTAGAAGACTAAGATGGGATTCCTCAAACCCAACCCAAATAGCCCACAAGGCTGCAAGAGAAAATAACCTGCAGGAAAGCTAACACTGCCCATAGCCATTTTCAGAGGGCAGGATCTAGTCCATATCTTGTGTTTAGGATGTGATGGGGACAGGCACCTGGTGGTGGAGCAGCCATGTACTGACATAAGAGAGTCTGAAGGCTGGAGGGTCAGCCCTCGATGGTGCCAGCTGGATCTGGGGGTGGAGGGCACTTTCCAATGCCCCACACCTGCTCCAGCAAGGGGAAAGGAGAGCAGCCCCATGCTGGGGCAGCGGGTGCAACAGGCAGCTCCCCGCTGGCACAGGCACCAGAAGTGCCGGCGAGGGAAAGATGTCCCTGCCTGCACAGGGCAAGGAGCCCAGAGAAAGCAGGTCAAGAGCCTCCCTCCCTTCACCTCCACACGTCCTGCCACAGCACTGAGATCTAACAACCTGCTTCCAGCTAACCCCTGACCTCAACCCCCTTGCGTGTGTTACCCACAGTGTTGGCCTTGCACAGAAAGCAAATAAACACCGTATTTCTGGTCAGCCTTTTGCCAGAGGGCCATGGGGATGAGCTTGCTGAGCTCGGGCACAGGGAAGGGGTTTGAAGCCTGACAGACCGAGTACACAGCTGGGAGGGCTCCACAGCCAAACTGTCTCTGGGAACTGGCAGTGGGATGTGTGCCACTGCCAGTGCTTGGGACCAAAGCATGAGGGTGGCAGTTTAGTTTTGATTTTTTTTTTTCTGGTTTTCTTCAGTCTTACAAGCAAGTTTTGCCCTGGCCAAAGGCACTGGACCGTGGTGGCCATCTCTGCTGCCCCCTCCCCCCCTCCTCCCCGCCCTGCAGCAAGCATGGCTGGGGACCCTGGCAGCAGAGTCAGTGCTGCACAAGGAGGTTGCCTCTGTGCCCACCAGTGGTAGACCCCAGGGCTGCCATGGCGCTTGCTGGCCGGGATCAGGCCTGGGAGGCACTTGGCTTCCTCAGACCTGGCTTTTGGAGACTGAGAAGGTGGCAGCACCAAAGGAGGACTCCAAGGACCCAGGCTATGAAACCTACAGCTCCTCAAGGGCTCTGGAGTGACCTTCCCTGCTCACTTTGGGACTGCCTGGCAGCGGTTGCCATGCACCCTGGCCAGCATGTTTCAGCTTCAGAGAGGCAGCTCTGAAATGCAGAGACCCCGCCATGGGAACTGTGCTTCCAATGGTCCGTCTCCCCACTACAGACCTGCTGGGCAAAATACACCAAGGGGTGAAACTGTGAGCAATGACCTGGAGCTGGCATGGGTGATCCCCCCGCTGCACCTTCAAGGTACCCTTCAAGGGATGCTTTTAATACAGCAGG